GAAAGGAGTGAAATGTTTCAACGTGACGGCCGTCTTGGTGTGTGGTGCGAGACGGGAGATGTAGTTCATTGAGCGGTTTCACACAAAGTGTTACTTCACAGTTTTACGACACATTTTAATTGTTTTGACTTTCAAAATTATCTTTTAAATTGACAAACATCATATGTGTAATTCGTGGCACAATTCAAACGGGATCGAGAGATAATCTTTCTCTCTCCATTGACTTCAATGCATACTTTTTCCGAAATAAGGTCCATGGAGGAAAGGGAGGGACTTCGCCTCTCTATAGTATGCAGATTATAATGCTATTAAAAAAACATTTGATATGATGTCTTTCCAAAAGCACGGGATAGTTTGTCTTAAAAAATACAATTACAAATGTTCATGCTAGTATAAAGTTAAGAAAGTAAAAGTGTAGTATGTCAAACAAAGTCATATTATAGTATATTTAAAAGACAATAACAGTACAATTCGTCAAAAAAAGTCATAGCATGTTATGTCGAAAAATATCATGAATAAAGTCTTCATTGATGTATAAAAAACTTCACTTTTCCCGTTAGTTGTGGGTCTTTTTGGGAGTTTTTACTTAACATTGTGAGGGTCTAAGAACAGAGTCGTCGTACACTGTGAAGCCCCTTACGGCCCGTCCACACTACAGCTTCGACAGCTTCAAAAACGGTTTCCAACGCTTCTGCCCATTCACTTTGAATGGGGTGACGTCACTTTTCGCCGAACTGCATTGTGGGAAGCAGAGCGGAGCTTTCCTGCCGTTTGGCTGCAAAAGTTGAGCAATGTTCAACTTTTGAAGATTCTGAAGCTTTCGGTGGAAGCGTCAGCCAATCAAATCATATGCCGGTACAAGCTCTAGCCAATCAAACCGCTGCTTGTGTGTCAGGGGCGGGAGATTCATGGGATTGGTTGTTGGTCGAGCTTCAGACACGCCCAGCTCCAAGCTTTTTTTGAAGCTGTCGTGTGGACGGGCCGTTAGACAAATATGATATTTGGGATATTATCAAATATCCTTCTTTTAATAACCTTTTGATAAATGCTTTAAAATGTATTGTAATGTCCCTTTAACAAACATGATCTTCAGCGGTTCAACCAACAGTCAACAAACAACATCCAGATTTATAAACAGAGGTTTTATTCAACATATCTGTAAGTATCATGTGACAGATCACTGACCAATCAGAGTGCAGACTGGTGATCCAAACACAGCAACACCAACATGTTACACCAGCTATTCAAGTTTCTCATGAGTCCTGAGAGGCGATGCTCTTAGGGCGACTGTCTCAATGACGTCTCTGGAGAGCAGTTTGAACGCAGCATTAATAATTCATCCACACACACACACACACACACACACACACACACACACACACACACACACACACACACACACACACACACACACACACACACACACACACACACACACACACACACACACACACACACACACACACACACACACACACACTCTTTAACACCCGCTTCACACGCCGTCCATCAAATCTGCTGCATCATTTTAATCCATCTTCCTCTTCGTCCTCTTCACTCTGCAGAGGACGAAGCGCTCACAGAAATTCAGAAACAAAAAGTCAGGCTGCAGCGTGAAACAAGACAAGGAATTAGGAACTGGTCTCAGGTCAGCATTTCACTGTGTCGGCCCCCTGATATGCATAAAGTAGTGTGTAAAATGTCCATAAACTGCCATCAAGAACATCTTATGCGTGCACGATGGTGTCTGGATGCATACGTTATTTTGTTGTGTAAGAAATATGTGTTATGACTAAAGGACTCTGTACTTTACATTAATACAAGAGTGGGAGTCCATATATTATCTGTAAAACTCCTGACTTCTTCTTAAGGTTTGTTCAGGATCTTTTAAACAGACTCTCCGTTGTTATTCAATCCCTTCTCGCCTCTATTAGTTTTTCACAAATGTAGGAACTTTATCTCGAATACATTTGCAGATTAAAACATAAGAGTTTCACCCTGAATGTAGACATACACTTTCTCCCCTAATGTTCCTTCATGACCAGAGGTGGGAAGGAGTGGAGTACAAATACTTCGTTACTGTACTTAAGTACATGTTTCTGGTCTCAGTACTTTTTACTTTGACTTCTTACATGTTGAACTCAAATACCTGTACTTTCTACTTCTTACATGTTGAACTCAAATACCTGAACTTTCTACTTCTCACATGTTGAACACAAATACCTGTACTTGCTACTTCTTACATGTTGAACTCAAATACCTGTACTTTCCACTTCTTACATGTTGAACACAAATACCTGTACTTTCTACTTCTTACATGTTGAACACAAATACCTGTACTTTCTACTTCTTATATGTTGAACTCAAATACCTGTACTTTCTACTTCTTACATGTTGACTCAAATACCTGTACTTTCTACTTCTTACATGTTGAACACAAATACCTGTACTTTCTACTTCTTACATGTTGAACACAAATACCTGTACTTTCTACTTCTTACATGTTGAACACAAATACCTGTACTTTCTACTTCTTATATGTTGAACTCAAATACCTGTACTTTCTACTTCTTACATGTTGAACTCAAATACCTGTACTTTCTACTTCTTACATGTTGAACACAAATACCTGTACTTTCTACTTCTTATATGTTGAACTCAAATACCTGTACTTTCTACTTCTTACATGTTGAACACAAATACCTGTACTTTCTACTTCTTACATGTTGAACTCAAATACCTGTACTTTCTACTTCTTATATGTTGAACTCAAATACCTGTACTTTCTACTTCTTACATGTTGAACTCAAATACCTGTACTTTCTACTTCTTACATGTTGAACTCAAATACCTGTACTTTCTACTTCTTATATGTTGAACACAAATACCTGTACTTTCTACTTCTTATATGTTGAACTCAAATACCTGTACTTTCTACTTCTTACATGTTGAACTCAAATACCTGTACTTTCTACTTCTTACACTTTGAACTCAAATACCTGTACTTTCTACTTCTTATATGTTGAACTCAAATACCTGTACTTTCTACTTCTTACATGTTGAACTCAAATACCTGTACTTTCTACTTCTTACACTTTGAACTCAAATACCTGTACTTTCTACTTCTTATATGTTGAACTCAAATACCTGTACTTTCTACTTCTTATATGTTGAACTCAAATACCTGTACTTTCTACTTCTTATATGTTGAACTCAAATACCTGTACTTTCTACTTCTTACATGTTGAACACAAATACCTGTACTTTCTACTTCTTATATGTTGAACTCAAATACCTGTACTTTCTACTTCTTACATGTTGAACTCAAATACCTGTACTTTCTACTTCTTATATGTTGAACTCAAATACCTGTACTTTCTACTTCTTACATGTTGAACCCAAATACCTGTACTTTCTACTTCTTACATGTTGAACTCAAATACCTGTACTTTCTACTTCTTACATGTTGAACTCAAATACCTGTACTTTCTACTTCTTACATGTTGAACCCAAATACCTGTACTTTCTACTTCTTACATGTTGAACACAAATACCTGTACTTTCTACTTCTTACATGTTGAACACAAATACCTGTACTTTCTACTTCTCTCATGTTGAACTCAAATACCTGAACTTTCTACTTCTCTCATGTTGAACTCAAATACCTGTACTTTCTACTTCTTACATGTTGAACTCAAATACCTGTACTTTCTACTTCTTACATGTTGAACCCAAATACCTGTACTTTCTACTTCTCACATGTTGAACTCAAATACCTGTACTTTCTACTTCTCTCATGTTGAACTCAAATACCTGAACTTTCTACTTCTCTCATGTTGAACTCAAATACCTGAACTTTCTACTTCTTACATGTTGAACCCAAATACCTGTACTTTCTACTTCTCACATGTTGAACTCAAATACCTGTACTTTCTACTTCTCTCATGTTGAACTCAAATACCTGAACTTTCTACTTCTCTCATGTTGAACTCAAATACCTGAACTTTCTACTTCTCTCATGTTGAACTCAAATACCTGTACTTTCTACTTCTTACATGTTGAACTCAAATACCTGTACTTTCTACTTCTTAGATGTTGAACACAAATACCTGTACTTTCTACTTCTCTCATGTTGAACTCAAATACCTGAACTTTCTACTTCTCTCATGTTGAACTCAAATACCTGTACTTTCTACTTCTTACATGTTGAACTCAAATACCTGTACTTTCTACTTCTTACATGTTGAACCCAAATACCTGTACTTTCTACTTCTTACATGTTGAACTCAAATACCTGTACTTTCTACTTCTCTCATTTTCCAAACAGCTGGTTCCTTTAGTCTGAATGTGTGTTTGGTGCGTGATCATTATTCTTTAGAGTCATTGCGTGCCTAATGATTTGAACACGATCCGTGTATCCATCATTTCCTGGTCTTCTCTAAAGAAGAGGGACCCTCTCATGTTCTGTCTGTAAACTTTAAAGAGTTCTTCCTCTCTCCTCCTGTAGGGTGAAGCGAGCAGAAGTCCTCTCTCTCCCCTCGACTCAGTGGAGAGTAAAGCAGGAATGTCCTGAGCAGCTGCAGGTCCCCTGAACGCATCATCAGCAGGTCACCTGAACGCATCATCTGCAGGTCCCCTGAACGCATCATCAGCAGGTCACCTGAACGCATCATCTGCAGGTCCCCTGAACGCATCATCTGCAGGTCCCCTGAACGCATCATCTGCAGGTCACCTGCCCTGAACACATCATCTGCAGGTCCCCTGCCCTGAACACATCATCTGCAGGTCCCCTGAACGCATCATCTGCAGGTCCCCTGAACGCATCATCTGCAGGTCACCTGAACGCATCATCAGCAGGTCCCCTGAACGCATCATCTGCAGGTCACCTGAACGCATCATCTGCAGGTCACCTGAACGCATCATCTGCAGGTCCCCTGAACGCATCATCTGCAGGTCCCCTGAACGCATCATCTGCAGGTCACCTGAACGCATCATCTGCAGGTCCCCTGAACGCTTCATCAGCAGGTCACCTGAACGCATCATCTGCAGGTCCCCTGAACGCATCATCTGCAGGTCCCCTGAACGCATCATCAGCAGGTCCCCTTCAGAGAGGAATCTGAAACACATAGGTTAGAGAATTCAGTCACGGGAAATATACTGTAGGAAAGACAGAAATCATGTATAAAAGCATGCACTATTTTGGCTTTTTATTAACTATATATCATGACAATAAATGCATAATCCACATGTCATAATAATAGTATGAAACATTGAGAAGTTAACTTACTTTCTGTATTTGTTGATTGTTCTATGAGAGTTTGTGTGTGTGTGTGTGTGTGTGTGTGTGTGTGTGTGTGTGTGTGTGTGTGTGTGTGTGTGTGTGTGTGTGTGTGTGTGTGTGTGTGTGTGTGTGTGTGTGTGTGTGTGTGTGTGTGTGTGTGTGTGTGTGTGTGTGTGTGTGTGTGTGTGTGTGTGTGTGTGTGTGTGTGTGTGTGTGTGTGTGTTGGTGTTCGTACCTGTCAGGTTTCTGAAGCGTCTCTTAGCCTCGGCTCTCTCCTCCGAGTCAAAATACCAAACAGTGATGGCGTACCTGAAACAAAAACAACAACAACGCTGTTAAATACAACTATTTAATAATTGAATGAAACTCTGGATTTTAATGTGGGTGTTTCTATGTAGGTTGTGTATATGTTTTACTGCACTTTCATTCAGAGTTCAAGGGTTTCTTTTTAATCGTTTTTCGTCAGTTTTGTGCTTTGAAAATAATACTTTTTAATTCAAGTTTAAGTTCAACAATATATCTATTTGATCCTAAACTAAATATATGCTGCCTCCCTGTAGGGACACAATGAGATTTGTATCGGAACAAGGCTTCATGATATCCTCCACAACAGCTATATAAACACTACAAAACTGATTTTGACAATTTAGCCAAGTCTGAAGGTCTCGAAAAAAGTGAAAATAGATAGAGTATAATTTGGTGTTCGGGTCGGGGGGGGGGGACCCAGCAGCATTGTTGTGGGTGACTCAGGGTCAAATTTGGCCCAATCAAGATTCATCTTTGACTTTAGACACCCCTCCCCCCTCCCCCAACGCCTTAATCAACTGTAACAATAATTTTAAACTTTTTTTGGGGAGATTATATTCTAATATCTATTATAGTCTATATAGCCAGTTGAGGTGGTTCGGGCACCTAGTTAGGATGCCACCTGGGCGCCTCCCTAGGGAGGTGTTCCAGGCACGTCCAGCTGGGAGGAGACCGAGGGGTAGACCTAGGACCAGGTGGAGGGATTATAACTCTTCACTGGCCTGGGAGCGCCTTGGGATCCCCCAGTCAGAGCTGGTTGATGTCGCCAGGGAAAAGAAAGTTTGGGGCTCTCTGCTGGAACTGCTACCCCCGAGACCCGACCACGGATAAGCGGGAGAAGATGGATGGATGGATGGATCTATTATAGTCAGATAACATAATGATCCACCGTCTTCACTATAGGGAATATAATGAGTGAATGTAATCACATGTTTTACTTAAATATGTGGTGTAATTTTTTTTGGGGCCATAACATTAAATTACAACAGCAATGTACGGTTAAGGATGCAAAATAAGTTAGTTATGATGTAGTTAAAACAATATTAGATGATAGTCATTATTAGTGTTTTGGACTGAGATAAATCATGGGTCAAAATTGACCCGCAAACTCTTTTGACTCTTTTGAACACAACACAAGGGTTAAGAGCTTTCATTTGAGATGCCTTTTGTTCCAGAAGTTACTTTAGGGGAAATGTTGCATGTAATTCCACACTCACACCAGCAGGTGGTGCCGTTTCTCTGTTCTCAGTGAAAACAACATGTGTATCATTGGGACAGAACTTAAATCAGATAAATCCTTTAGGTTGAACGTATTAATCAATCAATGAATACAAAGCAAGATGAAGAAAATGTCAATGTTTAAATTAGACTGAATGAAATTCAATGAAATCTGACCACGTTTTTAAAGTTTTTAGTTGATTGATTGAATAATTAATTTAATTATTGTTTGATTATCTGTTTGGTGGGTTATCTAAATGGTTAATTGGTTGTTTATCTGATTGGTTGGTACCTGATTGGTTGGTTATCTGATTGGTTAGTTACCTGATTGGTTAATTATCTGATTGGGTGGTTATCTGATTGGTTGGTTATCAGATTAGTTGGTTATCAGATTAGTTGGATATCTGATTGGTTGGTTATCTGATTGGTTGGTTATCTGATTGGTTGGTTGGTTAAATAACTAGTTGGTTACCTGATTGGTGGGTTAGTTATCTGATTGGTTAGTTACCTGATTGGTTAATTATCTGATTGGGTGGTTATCTAATTGGTTGGTTATCTGATTGGTTGGTTATCTGATTGGTTGGTTATCAGATTAGTTGGTTATCAGATTAGTTGGATATCTGATTGGTTGGTTATCTGATTGGTTGGTTATCTGATTGGTTGGTTATCTGATTGGTTGGTTGGTTAAATAACTGGTCTGTTACCTGATTGGTGGGTTAGTTATCTGATTGGTTAATGATCTGACTGGTTGGTTACCTGGTATTGAAGGAGGGCTGCACCTCGTGGGGGTTCCTGCGGTCGGACCAGAAGAAGAGCAGCCGGTCGAACAGCGGCTCGATGTCGGCCACGAAGGACGTCCCCTCCGGAAAGATCCTGAGGATGCCTCCGTGCTCCTGATCAATAACGAGAGAAGAGATCAGAAACACAACGTGGACTGATTCGAAAACATTAGTCATTCAAATATTTTGCAATATTTTAGTTTGTTATTATAGTTTTGGTCAGAGGTCAAGACAGGACTCTGTAATGAGCGGAGGTCCCTGAACGCACCTTGGCGCTCCAGTCCTTGTTGAGGTAGTAGATGCAGGTGATGCAGCGGCCGTCAGAGTTCGGGTTATCAACGTGTTTCACGTAACCTGCCCCGTTTCCAGGGTAACAAGCAACCATCGCCTGGAGAAAAACACACAGAAAACACATTTGATCAGACTTCAGTATTTGACCTGGAACAATATGCAGTTTATTTACATACAGTAGAGTATTTCAGTATGAGACTACAGAATCAGAATACTAAGGAAGCTCAGCGCAAGTTCAACCAGGAAGACCGTCTTTTCTCATTCATTTACTTTGTCTATGTTACTACTCTCTCTCCTCTCAATAAGTGATCGGGGGCGTCACTCCCCAGCTTAACCAATCACTTCTCTCTATTCTCACAAGCCTATCATAGCGCTCCGCTAACCCTTTTAAATCTGCTCTCCCCTCTGACAGCTGTCATTTCAGGTGACTCGACGCATCCCCCCTCCACCCCTTTTCAGCTCCTGTCCCTCTGAATCCAGGGTCAAGCTAAGCCCCTCCCCTTCAGACCGACCCCAACCATCCATTCACCACCACCAGGGTCAAGCTAAGCCACTCCCCTTCAGACTGACCCCAACTATCCATTCACCACCACCAGGGTCAAGCTAAGCCCCTCCCCTTCAGACCGACCCCAACTATCCATTCACCACCACCAGGGTCAAGCTAAGCCCCTCCCCTTCAGACCGACCCCAACTATCCATTCACCACCACCAGGGTCAAGCTAAGCCCCTCCCCTTCAGACCGACCCCAACTATCCATTCACCACCACCAGGGTCAAGCTAAGCCACTCCCCTTCAGACCGACCCCAACCATCCATTCACCAGCACCAGGGTCAAGCCCCTCCCCTTCAGACCGACCCCAACCATCCATTCACCAGCACCAGGGTCAAGCCCCTCCCCTTCAGACCGAACCCAACTATCCATTCACCAGCACCAGGGTCAAGCTAAGCCACTCCCCTTCAGACCGACCCCAACCATCCATTCACCAGCACCAGGGTCAAGCTAAGCCCCTTCCCTTCAGACCGACCCCAACCATCCATTCACCAGCACCAGGGTCAAGCTAAGCCCCTCCCCTTCAGACCGACCCCAACTATCCATTCACCACCACCAGGGTCAAGCTAAGCCCCTCCCCTTCAGACCGACCCCAACTATCCATTCACCACTACCAGGGTCAAGCTAAGCCACTCCCCTTCAGACCGACCCCAACTATCCATTCACCACCACCAGGGTCAAGCCCCTCCCCTTCAGACCGACCCCAACTATCCGTTCACCACCACCAGGGTCAAGCTAAGCCCCTCCCCTTCAGACCGACCCCAACTATCCATTCACCACCACCAGGGTCAAGCTAAGCCCCTCCCCTTCAGACCGACCCCAACTATCCATTCACCACCACCAGGGTCTAGACCCCGGGGGGTTTCATCAGATCGGTTCTCCCCTCCTGAATGATACTCCCGCACAACGGGGCCTAATCGCCAAAACTCCATTACATTCATTTGTGCATTCCTGGCAATACATATGTATTCTTACATCAACACCGGCTCTGCTGATTGAAATAATAGATTACATTTCTATAGCCTTTCAAGTATATGTGTGTGTGTGTGTGTGTGTGTGTGTGTGTGTGTGTGTGTGTGTGTGTGTGTGTGTGTGTGTGTGGTGTGGGTGTGTGTGTGTGTGTGTGTGGTTATCTGCAAATATGTATCACGTTCATCAGGTTGTGTGCATACGGCGACAGTTGCACGTACACAAACTGTTCAAAGCATGCATGTTCTTCATGTGTGTGTGTGTGTGTGTGTGTGTGTGTGTGTGTATGTATGAGAGCATGTTTGTTTGAAGGAAACCGCTGATCAGCTTCCACTCCCTGTTCGGGACTAAAGGTCGCAGCGCTGCAGGGTCAAGCTAAGCCCCTCCCCTTTTATGGCGTGTAGTATGGAGGGGAATTCCTGACAATTTTGTATTTGTTTGTGCTTCCTCTGTTTCTCAAGGGTTGGTCAGTGTATATGTTGGTCAATATTTTTGATAAAAGTCAGAGTATAGGATGTCATTAAACACTCACAGTATTTTATGGCAAAAAAGTCTTAATATTGTAAGTATTTTGCAAAAAGTCAAGCACAACATGTCGCAAAAAAAGTCATTTTCTTTTATGGGAAAAGAGTCCTTGTAAAGTTTGTCGTACAACATTTGAAAAGAAAAGTCACAAAAAAGTCATTATACAATCTGGCAAACAATCTAAGTGTACTAAACACGTAATGAAATACATGTAAAAAAGTCAACAAAGTATATCGGAAAAAGTCAATAACTGTCTTAATATGTAATGTTGCAAAAGTCGTTCTACAATATGGCAAAAAGAATATCATACTATGTCGTCAAAAAGTCGGGAAATACATTTTTAAAAAGTCAATAAAAAGTCGTTAAAACGTCGTGAAAAAAGTCCTGAAACAGTTTTTGTATTGTAATTCGAAAGAATGTAGAGAGTAAGTCAAAGTACAGTATGTCGGAAACAAGATGTAGACAAAGTGTGTGTACGGATCTCCTTGAGCACCTTTCTGATTGATCTGATATCACCAGCTATCAACGACCTCTTCAAAACGATCCTCACCTCTGAAGGTCTCACATCATGTCCTCTTCCCTTTCCGTACAATAACCACACGCAATATGTTACCCTCATCCAACACACAGGTCCCTGAACGCATCACCACCTTTAGTTACCTCCCTGACGTCAGCGTTTCCCACCTGATGTCTGGCTTTTGCACGAAACTTTGAATGCAACCTCCTAACAGCTGTTTTCGTGCATGTGAGCGAGTCCAGAGCTGCACGTAGCGTCAATGACGACAAACCCTCAACGCTGATAAAGAGAGTCTGACGTGCTCCAGAAAAAACCACACTGCCACTGAAGCATGGAAACACACACACCATCATCTTCATCATCATCATCATCATGGTGCAACCAGAGGAAATGATACAGCGTGGAGAAAAAAATCTAAACAAAATGCCTCCGAGATGTTTTGAATTCTACTTTATCTCATCTTCCGAGTAAAGAGGAGGAGGGTGTGTGTGTGTGTGTGTGTGTGTGTGTGTGTGTGTGTGTGTGTGTGTGTGTGTGTGTGTGTGTGTGTGTGTGTGTGTGTGTGTGTGGCCTAGCATTACTATACTTGTGGGGACCTAGATCTGTTTACACAGTCACGTGTGGGGACAAATTGGAGGTCCCCATGAGGGGTATCATTAATTTTAGGGTGAAGATTTGGTTAGGTTTAGGTTAAGGGTTAGGGTAAGGGTTAGGGTAAGGGTAAGGTTAAGGGTTAGGGTAAGGGTTAGGGTAAGGGTTAGGGTAAGGTAAGGTTAAGGGTTAGGGTAAGGGTAGGGTTAAAGGTAAGGGTTAGCGGTAAGGTAGAGGTAAGGGGTTAGGGGTAAGGTAGGTTAAGGGTTAGGGTAAGGGTAGGGTAAGGGTAGGGTAAGGGTTAGGGTAAGGGTTAGGGTAAGGGTAAGGTTAAGGGTTAGGCATGTGTTGGTTATGGTTAAGGTTAGGATAAGTCTCCAGGAAATGCATGTAAGTCAATGTAATGTCCCCTGAAGTGATGTATACATGGTGTGTGTGTGTGTGTGTGTGTGTGTGTGTGTGTAATGACAGAGCTATGTGTGGAGCATGAGGGAAACTCTCACTGTCAATGTCATTGTCATCAACACACACACACACACAATGTTGTCGTCTTGATAATGGATTGTGTGCATATTTCTTATATTAGTTGTATATACTGTATACAGTTATACATGTGCTTGTTTCAACAACCTCATTGATGTATGATCCATTAAACACAAAAGAACATTCCTTGAGTGTAAATAGCTTTTTCTAGCCGTTCCGTTGTGTGACGCTGACCATAGAGAACTTGAGGAATAGAAGTGTGAAATAAAAGGAATCGTAAAAGGGCAAAACAGTATGCTTTCTTTCTTTTCTGTTTGAAATGACCATAACACATTGTTTCGGTACGTTGAGTTGAGAAGTAAAATGACAAACTGATGATGTGCTGGGCTTTATTACTTGTTATCTATTAGTCATATTTGTTTTGTTGTTCACTGTAGAGGATACAACTGCCTCTCCTGCAGATCTTTGCAATGTGTATTCTCCTGAAGCGTCTCCAGATAACTGTGTGTGTGTGTGTGTGTGTGTGTGTGTGTGTGTGTGTGTGTGTGTGTGTGTGTGTGTGTGTATTGCTATTGTACCTGGGATGACCTGTTTTCTTAAGAAGTTATATCTGATATCACACACACACACACACTCGTCGTACACTGCTGCAATTGAAGACTGGCGGATATGCTGGGTGTGTGTGTGTGTAGGAAGTAAGGATACAGTAAATCAGTGTGTGTGTGTGTAGGAAGTAAGGATACAGTAAATCAGTGTGTGTGTGTGTAGGAAGTAAGGATACAGTAAATCAGTGTGTGTGTGTGTGTGTAGGAAGTAAGGATACAGTAAATCAGTGTGTGTGTGTGTGTGTACGTGTGAGTGTGTGAGGTGTGAATAATTGAATAAGTGGCGGAGTGTGTACGTGAGGATCTCCACCGCTCCATCTGCAGCTGGAGGAAGTGATCAGAGATAAACAGTAGAACAATGTTTATTTAAACAGATTCAATTCATTTAACCTTTTTATTTCACATTTATACTTTAACTTTCTGTTTACAAAAAAAAAATTTGTATCTGATGCTGGACATTTTATTTTTGACTTATTATTGTTTATTAACATAAAAATGTCTTTATTTTATTAAATATTTTATTGGATATTTACTTCACTTGCTTATATAATACTTAAACTTTTTTACATTCATTTAAATATCTTGCTAGCTGCATGTCAACGTTGTAGATGTTTGTGGTTGTGTTTGGTACTTCAATATACAGAAACTAATTAAGTCATTTTAGCCGTCTACATATTATACAAATATATGTTTATAGACAGGATGTTGCATATTTGAAAAAGCATTAATTGATTACATTTGTTTTACTTTACTTTTTATTTAGCTGACACACTTCTATCCCAAGTAAGCAAAATAAATATGCGAGCGAGTGAGATAAAGTGCGCGCACTGGTTACTTGTATTGTTGTTGTTAGCATCTGGTGCTAGCTAGCTGCGCTAACGGATATAAGGAGCTTTTTCAACAACAAGGTGGAGGAGAGTCCTCTGCTGTCAGACTGAGAGACTGATAACCTCAGCTCAGGTGAGGTAAAGGACTCTGAGTGTTTAGATAGTTAACTTAGTCTAAGTTATCTCAGTGGGTCTCAAACGGTTTGGTCACCATTTATGTAAACACATATTTCCATTTGAAGGGGGAGTGATTCGTAAAATATGCATGAATAATAATAAAAAAACGTTAACTAGGTGAAAAAAGGTAAGATAAACTTTTAAAACTTGTTGAGAGCTAAAACTAGTCTTTGCTGCTGCCTCAAAGAGGAGCAGGGGGAGAGGAGGGAGAGGGGAGGCTGGTTCAGGAGCACAGACACACTCACAACTATAAATGAACCAAAAACAAATAAATAAACAAGTTTCAATGTTTTTTCATATTGGATGGTATGTTATTGGTTATGGCCATGATCTCATGATTTTATGATTATTTAAATGTAACAGTTCTGTTTCATATGGGTGTAGTCTCTTTATTTCCCCCTCACAGTGCACCAGATTGATGCATTAAGTCCAACATTTAAAAAAAAAAATCTTACCGGGGAGCATGCCCCCCGGACCCCCCTATAGGATTTGAGGTCCACCCCCACTTAAAATATGTTCACATAGGTTCCTAAATAGATTTGCACATTTTTAAAAATAGTAACCCATGTCCATATGTTTATTTTGGGTAGTAGATTTAGAGGGCTATCACTACGGGCAGCAACGCTGTAAAAATTGACAAATAAATCCAGCAAAATGGCACAAAAAACTAGTAGTGGCCAGGCTGGGTGTATGATTCCCGGCCTGACTTATTGTCCCAGTCCGGCCCTGTGCACAAGTGATCCAAGAAGCGTGTGCAATCTGCCAGCATGCATATGGGGACAGAAAGGACCCCAAGTCCACAGAGGAAGGGCTTTCGTGTGCAGTCTGTGTCCAGTGGTTCCATGGAAGCTGTGCAGAGGATAACGGGGTTCTGGATGATGATGGCTCCTTGAAATGCAAGGACTGCTTGTTTCCAGACATGTAATGTTGGAAGCAATTGTTTTAGGCAGGTTCATGTTTGTGTGTGTTGTGTTGCCTTCAAATATAGGCTACCTGTTAAAGGTGTATGTGTTCCCTGTGAAATACATTGTAATGATTTTAGATTTTAATAACATTTTAACTCATGTTGTAAGCAATTGTTTTACGCAGGTTTAGGTTTTATGTGTTGCCTCAATGTTTGATATGTTGCCTTCAAATACACCTGCAGTTGTATGTGTTCCCTGTGAAATACAATTCAATGATTTTTGAAAACTATTAGAATCTATTGTTGTTTGATTCTCACAACAACAACAAAAAGTTAACATCCACACCTATAAGCCTAAATGTTGTAACAACAATAACATTATAAATAGTAAAAGAGCTGAACATGGTATTGCACATTTCGCTCAGAGTTACTGACCTGAGATGTTTTATTACAATAATAAATAAATAAATGTATTAATTAAGGTGACTGAGGCTTTTCAACATTTCAGTGTCCCACATTTTGCACAGAACTGTCCCACATTAGGAAAAGCAGATTGTCTGAGACAACTTGGCACTAAGAGTACTGATATGTCTACCATTTATTTTATGAGTGTAATATCTGCATTTTCTCTTTTGGTTTGATTAGGACACATCCTGGGTATTTCAGAATGGTACTGGATGTTGATTTAATGTATTGGCTTCATATCGCAATATATTCCCGAAGTCTGAAATGCAAAAAAAATGTCCCACATTAGGGCAATTCACCCAACTCCACAAAAATTGTAATCGTTTTGACAGCCCTAATTGTTTTACTTGTACTTGACAGCAGGTGATACCTTACACTGCACTGAACTTTAATTTGTGCATTATTCTCTATTATTTGATGCCTGTTTTTTTTCTATTTCAGCTTGACTGTGTTACATCTGACCTGTAGTGACTGTGTTACATCTGACCTGTAGTGACTGTATTACATCTGACCTGTCTGTATTACATCTGACCTGGTATGACTGGTAGTAAGCTATTTTATAGTATTGCTGCCATTTTAACAACATCTCCTGATGTCCAGTATTAGATAGATAGATAGTTACTTTATTGATGCCCAAATGTCGAAGTTCTTGTCTTACAGGAGCATCAGTGTGTGTTTAGGCATTCAAATATGTCCTCCCCCTCCCTCTCACTCTTGGACCTCTCGCGGATCTTCTTGCTCTCCAGCCGGCTCGCGCACACAGAGATCATCTTATCGATCATGTTGAGCAGGAAGTTGATCGCCTCGCAGCCGCGCTCCGCCCCGCTCAACCCAGCGATCTTATCCCGCGGATACTGCTCCGGTGCACCCCGGGAACAGAGCCTACCAGGCAGGCCGTCCTGCAGCAGCCCGGCCCGGTGCATATCGATCACCTGCTGGAGCACCGCCCCCCCGGCCACTTCCCCCAGGACCCGTCCAATAACAGAAACCAAAGTCCTGCAGCGCCGGGACGACCTGCTCCAGAGCCAAGCCCTCCAGTCTGCGTCAGAAACGTGCTCAATGAAAGGCATTTGCATCAAAAATATAAAATAAAGTCAGATTCTGGGAAAGTGTTACTGTCAAAAATATATTTCACAGCAGAATAACTTTGATTTTATGTGAAACGTGTCACAGAAAGAGTATTAAACGGTCAGAGAGGGGAGTTTGAGATGTTTCATTGGCAGCAGAGACCTACATTAAAAGAGATGAGAGATCACTGACTGTTTCAGAGAGCCCGCGAGCTCTTATGGAGGAGGCGACACTGTCAACGACAGGTGTCGCCTCCTGTACTACTTCCGGTGGTCGATTTCAAAATAAACGCAGTAATGCTTTGGATCCAAAGTCTAATCCTGTCCTCATTATGTTGTATTCTTTATCTACTCATTTAGCCAAATACCATGTTTTCTTCTTGTTTTATATATAATAAATAGCTTTGCAAGAAGTGTGGTGACCAGGGACGTGCACAGGTACGGGCTAATGTTGCCCGGGCAACGGCCCTTTTGCCATTTTTGCCTGACCTGCCCCTCTGGAGAGAGCAAGAGGGTTTTTTTTCTTTCTATTGTGGCCGAATCAACATGATAAGCCCACAATTAGTATTGTAGCGTCTCGCTGCGGGAAACACACCTTGTCCGCGCTGTCTGCCCCCAGTCACGTGACTTTGTTTACAATCTGACAGCTGGAAGCAAAGGAAAGCCCTCCGAGTCCAACCTCATATATGGTGATCACACCAAACGCCTGCTCTGGCTCCTGCCCGTTAGAGTATAGGGGACAAACCTGGGGACTTTACTTCCTCTTGACACCGTCGGTTACTTACACAAAAACACCTAAATATACTTGTTATTGTGCTTCTGTCTTTCTGTGTCTTTTACTCTGCTCCGTGAACTCCCTCACCCTCGCTCTCTTCTCTTGATCGCCCTCTCACGGAGAACTCTTCACTGTCCCGCTATATTGTAGGATTTCTGCCATGTCTCCACTTTAGCTTGACCATCTCTGTTATTAAGTTATGGAATTCTAAATAAATAAGTAATTAGATACCTATACCGTTACTACGCTCATAAAGAATGATACGAATAAGGCGTATTGAACTGGTTTAATTAATTAGTGAGTTTATTTAAGGTAATTATAGAATGTTATCAGTAGCCTATGTCTGCAACAGCAGTAACAACGGTAAAACTACATTAAAACGAATTGTCCCCATTGTTTCTTTAATAGTTACTAACATTAGATATTTTAATGAGATAAGGACCGCAACAAAAAATGTGCCTGAATAATGAATTTAGCAGTTGGACATAAAAGTCAATGACTGACTTGCAATGGCAGTGTTGTGTTTTTTTTTATGAGTTTATGTTAGAATTTTCAAAAGGTCTTGTGTTTTTTTTCGGGGGGGAGGCCCTTTTTCCAGTTTAGAGCAATAGCCCCTCCAAATGTCGTCCCTGGTGGTGACACAATACTAGGGTGTGGGGGAAACTTCTGTAGCAATGGAGTCAGGACTCAGAGAGACACGAGGAGAGAGCGGGAGCTCTGATGGAGTCAGGACTCAGAGAGACACGAGGAGAGCTGGAGCTCTGATGGAGTCAGGACTCAGAGAGACACGAGGAGAGCTGGATCTGATGGAGTCAGGACTCAGAGAGACACGAGGAGAGCTGGAGCTTGATGGAGTCAGGACTCAGAGGACGAGGAGAGCTGGAGCTCTGATGGAGTCAGGACTCAGAGAGACACGAGGAGAGCTGGAGCTCTGATGGAGTCAGGACTCAGAGAGACACGAGGAGAGTGGAGCTTGATGGAGTCAGGACTCAGAGAGACACGAGGAGAGCTGGAGCTCTGATGGAGTCAGGACTCAGAGAGACACGAGGGAGCTGGAGCTCTGATGGAGTCAGGACTCAGAGAGACACGAGGAGAGCTGGAGCTTTGATGGAGTCAGGACTCAGAGAGACGAGGAGAGCTGGAGCTCTGATGGAGTCAGGACTCAGAGAGACACGAGGAGAGCTGGAGCTTTGATGGAGTCAGGACTCAGAGAGACACGAGGAGAGCTGGAGCTCTGATGGAGTCAGGACTCAGAGAGACACGAGGAGAGCTGGAGCTTGATGGAGTCAGGACTCAGAGAGACACGAGGAGAGCTGGAGCTCTGATGGAGTCAGGACTCAGAGAGACACGAGGAGAGCTGGAGCTTGATGGAGTCAGGACTCAGAGAGACACGAGGAGAGCTGGAGCTCTGATGGAGTCAGGACTCAGAGAGACACGAGGAGAGCTGGAGCTCTGATGGAGTCAGGACTCAGAGAGACACGAGGAGAGCTGGAGCTCTGATGGAGTCAGGACTCAGAGAGACACGAGGAGAGCTGGAGCTCTGATGGAGTCAGGACTCAGAGCGACACAGGAGAGCTGGAGCTCTGATGGAGTCAGGACTCAGAGAGACACGAGGAGAGCTGGAGCTTTGATGGAGTCAGGACTCAGAGAGACAGAGGAGAGCTGGAGCTGATGGAGTCAGGACTCAGAGAGACACGAGGAGAGCTGGAGCTTGATGGAGTCAGGACTCAGAGAGACACAAGGAGAGCTGGAGCTCTGATGGAGTCAGGACTCAGAGAGACAACGAGGAGAGCTGGAGCTCTGATGGAGTCAGGACTCAGAGAGACACGAGGAGAGCTGGAGCTTGATGGAGTCAGGACTCAGAGAGACACGAGGAGAGCTGGAGCTCTGATGGAGTCAGGACTCAGAGAGACGAGGAGAGCTGGAGCTCTGATGGAGTCAGGACTCAGAGAGACGAGAGGAGAGCTGGAGCTCTGATGGAGTCAGACTCAGAGAGACACGAGGAGAGCTGGAGCTCTGATGAGTCAGGACTCAGAGAGACACGAGGAGAGCTGGAGCTCTGATGGAGTCAGGACTCAGAGAGACACGAGGAGAGCTGGAGCTCTGATGGAGTCAGGACTCAGAGAGACACGAGGAGAGCTGGAGCTCTGATGGAGTCAGGACTCAGAGAGACGAGGAGAGCTGGAGCTCTGATGGAGTCAGGACTCGAGAGACACGAGGAGAGCTGGAGCTCTGATGGAGTCAACTCAGAGAGACACGAGGAGAGCTGGAGCTCTGATGGAGTCAGGACTCAGAGAGACACGAGGAGAGCTGGAGCTTGATGGAGTCAGGACTCAGAGAGACACGAGGAGATGGAGAGCTTTGATGAAGTCAGGACTCAGAGAGACACGAGGAGAGCTGGAGCTCTGATGGAGTCAGGACTCAGAGACACGAGGAGAGCTGGAGCTCTGATGGAGTCAGGACTCAGAGAGAGAGAGAGAGGAGCTGGAGCTCTTGATGGAGTCAGGACTCAGAGACACGAGGAGAGCTGGAGCTCTGATGGAGTCAGGACTCAGAGAGACGAGGAGAGCTGGAGCTCTGATGGAGTCAGGACTCAGAGAGACGAACAAGGAGAGCTGGAGCTTGATGGAGTCAGGACTCAGAGAGACGAGGAGAGCTGGAGCTTGATGGAGTCAGGACTCAGAGAGACACGAGGAGAGCTGGAGCTCTGATGGAGTCAGGACTCAGAGAGACACGAGGAGAGCTGGAGCTTGATGGAGTCAGGACTCAGAGAGACACGAGGAGAGAGCTGAGCTCTTGATGGAGTCAGGACTCAGAGAGACACGAGGAGAGCTGGAGCTCTGATGAGTCAGGACTCAGAGAGACACAAGGAGAGCTGGAGCTCTGATGGAGTCAGGACTCAGAGAGACGAGGAGAGCTGGAGCTCTGATGGAGTCAGGACTCAGAGAGACACGAGGAGAGTGGAGCTCTGATGGAGTCAGGACTCAGAGAGACAAGGAGAGCTGGAGCTTGATGGAGTCAGGACTCAGAGAGACACGAGGAGAGCTGGAGCTGTGAAAGTCAGGACTCAGAGAGACACGAGGAGAGCTGGAGCTCTGATGGAGTCAGGACTCAGAGAGACACGAGGAGAGCTGGAGCTCTGATGTGAGTCAGGACTCAGAGAGCACAGAGGAGAGCTGGAGCTCTGATGGAGTCAGGA